CAAAGCCTGTGATAGGACTAAGGCACGTCTAAAAAGAACCATTACAGGAGGTAGGTAAAGGTAAAGGGACCGCTAACCATTAGGTCCAGTCGTGACCGACTCTGGGGTTGCGGCGCTCATCTCGCTTTATTGGCCGAGGGAGCCGGCGTACAGCTTCCAGGTCATGTGGCAGCATGACTAAGCCGCTTCTGGCGAACCAGAGCAGTGCACAGAAACACCGTTTACCTTCCCGCCAGAGCAGTATCTACTTGCACTGGCGTGCTTTCGAACTGCTAGGTTGGCAGGAGCAGGGACCGAGCAATGGGAGCTCACCCCGTCGCGGGGATTCGAACCGCCGACCTTCTGATCGGCAAGTCCTAGGCTCTTGTGGTTTAACCCACAGTGCCACCCGCATCCCATTTCATGGAGGAGAGGGCCACAAAAGGCTACTCGCCAACAATGGCGATGCTTCTGCAGACCAGCTGGCAGAAACCACAGGAGGGGAGAGTGCTCCGGTGCTTGGGTCCTGTTTGTAAGTTTGCCCATAGGCATCTGGTTGGCCACTGTGAAACCAAGAAGCTGGACTACATGGTTCAGTGGCCTGATCCACCAGGGGTCGTCTTATGTTCTTGTATCGCCTGGCTGTGAGTCGTGAAGGCCGCTCCCTGCAAGGCCCTTTCCACCTGGCCTAGGGGGCGAGGCCCAGACTTGCCAGCTCTACTAAAGGGGCTCTTGGTGAGACCAGGGGAACATCACTATGCCTGACAATAAACCCTAACTATGGGATTGTTTTGCCCCATCTTTTTCTGCCTGCCAAACAGTCGTGTCATCTTAGGACAATGTTTTATTCCTTTGTTAATTATGCTGTTTTAAATGTGTATTTTATACAATCATACCTCGGGATGAATACGCTTCAGGTTAAGCATTTTCGGTTTGTGCTCCACGGCGACCTGGAAGTAACGGAGCGTGTACCTCCGGGTTTCGCCACCCGCGCATGCACAGATGCTCAAAATGACATCATGCGCGGAAGCGGCGAAACACTACCTGCACATATGCAGATGCACAGTCGTGTGTTACGTTCACTTCAGGATGCGAACGGGGCTCCAGAACAGATCCCATTTGCATCCAGAGGTACCACTGTATTTGACTTCATTTAGTAATGGGTTTTTTTTCTTTTTGAAATGTTTAAGATTTTTTTTGTTAACTTTGTTTTAAATATGTATTCTGTAGTTGACCTCCTTTGTAATGTTTTATTTTGAAATCTATTTCAGTTTTCTGTTAATTATGTTGCTTTGACTGTATACTCTATATTTGACTTTCTTCAGAAATGTTTGATTCTGGCTTGTTTTATTGATGTTTTAATATGCCATAAACCACTTTTCTTAAAAATATAAAGTGGTATAGAAGTGAAATAAAACAAACAAACAAACAAACAAATTATAGAGCTGTTTTCGAACTCCAGCTCTTTTTGGACTACAACTCCATCATCAGGACCAGTGGTCAGGGTTGATGGGGATTGTAGTCCAAAACAGCGGGAGATCCAAGTTTTGGAAACCCTATTATAGAGGAAGGGCATAGGTCTGCAATGGACATAACCTCCAACAACCTTCACATCTAACGTATTTGAAATGACGCATGTGCTAGGTTTTGCTTTGTGAATGCTGATATTATAAAATCAGTAATAATAATAATAAAATTTTAAAAAGCAGTGGAAACCGATGTGTGAGAAGTCAGCCTGCTAACCTTGCGAATGCAGCTGAAAATGCTTTTCTCTCTGGGAGGGGTGGGGAATGGCAAACACATAAGCAGGCATCTTGCGCCATGCAACACCAGCACGTTCAAACCGGCTTTGCGATAGAGCGCCAAGGAGTGCCAAGTATGATGAATGGGGTTTTTGTTTTGTTTTGTTCTGGGAAAGAAAGCAAACTCATCCATTTCACAGGCTGATATCATCGGAGAAGTTGCCCAGGCAGTTTGAAGAGCCTTATCCAGGAGGAACGTTTCGTAGAGGTTCTTAATGTGAAGCAATGGTGGGCTGGGAAGGCTGGGATACTAGTCTATGCATGCAGGGAAAGCAATGGACAAGAGGCCCTTGACAGATGTCCCAGTGCTGCCCAAGCTTTTCTTCCCAGGCAACTGGACCAAGTGTCCCCACACCTACGGCTCACCAAGCAGTTCCAGCAACCCACGGGCATGGCTGGCATGCGTCCTGGGGCATGGCATGCCTGTTAGGGTATAGTTCCGTTCCACCTTAAAAGGGTACAGGCATGACTGTTGTGTGTCACATGCCTGTTTACTTCCAGCACAGTCTGCTGGGAACTTCTGTTTGTATATTGCTTTTGCTTTCTGCTGTTTTGCTG